TGAAAGTTGTTGCACTTTTACTTGGGCTGCAGCTAGGCTACACATAGTTTTGCTGTTTTTTGTGTGAATGGGACAGTCGGGCAAAGGCACTTCATTACACCAGACAAAACTGGCCTGTTCGACGATTCCTAGAGCCAGGTCAAAAAAATGTACAGCTTATGCCATTAGTAGATTCGAAAAAAATTTTATTACCACCACTGCATATCAAGTTGGGCCTAATGAAAAACTTTGTCAAGGCATTAGATAGAGATGGGTTAGCTTTTCAATACCTGCGTCAGAAATTTCCAAGACTAAGTGAGGCAAAGGTTAAAGAAGGTATTTTTGTTGGGCCACAGATTCGAAATATTTTGAAAGATACACAGTTTGAAAACACTTTAACAGGTATTGAAAAAACTGCTTGGAATGATTTCCGTCTGGTGGTCACTCATTTCTTGGGAAATAGAAAAGCTGACAACTATAAAACCCTTGTCAAAAATATGCTGTCATCGTATCAAAAGATGGGCTGTAATATGTCTCTTAAGATACATTTCCTACACTCTCACCTGGACTTTTTTCCTGACAATTGCGGAGCCGTAAGTGATGAGCACGGCGAACGTTTTCATCAGGATATTTCAACAATGGAAAAAAGGTACCAGGGAAAGTGGAATCCTTCCATGCTTGCAGACTACTGTTGGACTCTTGGTAGAGATGCTCCAGAAACGATCCATAAAAGAACAGCAAAAAGACAGCGCATATAGTGATTCTTATAAGTATATGAATCTTGTTACTTTTTTTAATATATCCTTAAAAATAAAAAGTTTTTTTCTAAACCGCAACTAATTTTTTTATTTCATTGTCATTTTTGTATTCAGCGCCCCAAAATTAACAAAGAAGTGCACTTTTCCCACAAGATACAATTAAAAAACTAAAATTTGTTGTCCAGTGTTATTTTTGTTATAAATGATACATATTTCATATACGTCTATTTACAAGTTTTGGTAAATATTATCTCCAACAACATACTCTTGCGGAGCTTTGTCGTTTGATGCCTCGTCTAAATTTTTTAGCTTTCAGAGTAATATTGTTGTTGGAGACGAGCAACTTTCAGTTGTTCAACTAAAACTAATCGTTGAAGCTGGGTTGTCGTTAACTACCTCGTCTCGTCAGACTCTTGTTTGCCCGAAGCAAAGGTAGGCTTCGGAGGAATTTTTTTTGCAGCAACCTCGTCAACCGATGTGTAGGATCGCTTTTTGTTAGCTACTACTTGAGGCATAATCATCTGATGAGCGTCGTTTTCCACCATAATATCATCCTTTGAAGTAGGTAAAGAAGGTTGACTTGCCACGCCAATTGCAAGATCCCCTAATAAAAATATACACGCATGATAAGTACCTACAAGGTAATAGTAAAGACCTGACTCTATTTCTCCCCTTGGACCCGACTTAGTACAGGATTTATGTCGGCATCCATAGCCTTTAACATAACTTTCTCCCAGGACAAAAGACGAATGGGGTTGTTCCCTGTTTTATTTTTGTCAGTTGCGTTTTCATATTGTTCACTTTTTTCATAAAAGCTTTAATATCCATCTCCTTGCCAAATAAAGTAACGTATTCTTTAACGATATCAGTTAATGCAGCAGTTTTCTTCTTTTTCATCGCTGGAACTTGAGATTTCTCGAGAATCTCCGGAAATGCTTGGACTTTTTCAGCGATAAACGTCATCTCATTAGGGGCATCTTCGGTAACTTCCTGTTCACTATCGGTGTCAGACATTTTAAATATTTTATCCACTTTAAAATAGCTGCACAAATAAGTTGGATCGTCTTTACATCAATTGACGTGCGTACTGCTTTTAATTATGAGACAAATAAGATCAACCCCATCAGTTACAGACCACATACGCGTTGATTGCACGCTGCAAGTCATATCTTGTCGAAATCGCTAATCTCCGTACCTTTTACTTTATTTTCCCGAAGCATTTGCTTGCAAGGAAGAGGTAGAGATTATGAATACGAATTGGAGCAAAACCTTTTACTTCTACCTTTTGCTTGTACCTTTCACTTCAAAGTAAATGCTTCATTTTTATAAATACGGGCTATTATTTTTGGAATAACAGTGATAGATGGCAGACACATAAGGTGGAAAATAAGTTAAACTAAAAACATTCCCCGGAAGTATGCACTTAGCCCTATGGAACACAAAACTGGATGATTACAGCAATGTCCAACATACTGTTGGAAGACATAGTCCTGAAAGCATGAGACAACACCTTCAGTGTGGTCCACAAAAAATGGTAAAGAGAGGAAACTGTAGTATTGGTGGATCAATGGAATAGCACAAAAAAGGGAAGAATGCCTAATTACACTGGACAACAAATTTTAGTTTTTTAATTGTATCTTGTAGGAAAAGTGCACTTCTTTGTTAATTTTGGGGCGCTGAATCCAAAAATGACAATGAAATAAAAAAATTAGTTGCGGTTTAGAAAAAAAACTTTTTATTTTTAAGGATATATTAAAAAAAGTAACAAGATTCATATACTTATAAGAATCACTATATGCGCTGTCTTTTTGCTGTTCTTTTATGGATCGTTTCTGGAGCATCTCTACCAAGAGTCCAACAGTAGTCTGCAAGCATGGAAGGATTCCACTTTCCCTGGTACCTTTTTTCCATTGTTGAAATATCCTGATGAAAACGTTTGCCGTGCTCATCACTTACGGCTCCGCAATTGTCAGGAAAAAAGTCCAGGTGTGAGTGTAGGAAATGTATCTTAAGAGACATATTACAGCCCATCTTTTGATACGATGACAGCATATTTTTGACAAGGGTTTTATAGTTGTCAACTTTTCTATTTCCCAAGAAATTAGTGACCACCAGACGGAAATCATTCCACGCAGTTTTTTCAATACCTGTTAAAGTGTTTTCAAACTGTGTATCTTTCAAAATATTTCGAATCTGTGGCCCAACAAAAATACCTTCTTTAACCTTTGCCTCACTTAGTCTTGGAAATTTCTGACGCAGGTATTGAAAAGCTGACCCATCTCTATCTAATGCCTTGACAAAGTTTTTCATTAGGCCGAACTTGATATGCAGTGGTGGTAATAAAATTTTTTTCGATTCTACTAATGGCATATGCTGTACATTTTTTTGACCTGGCTCTAGGAATTGACGAACAGGCCAGTTTTGTCTGGTGTAATGAAGTGCCTTTGCCCGACTGTCCCATTCACACAAAAAACAGCAAAACTTTGTGTAGCCTAGCTGGAGCCCAAGTAAAAGTGCAACAACTTTCAAATCGCCACAAATATGCCATTGGTGCTCATCGTATTTTATGCATGTCAATAGGTACTTCATATTGTCATATGATTCTCTCATGTGAACTGCATGCCCTACAGGAAGAGATGGTAAAATATTTCCAATATGCAATAACACTGCCTTTAAACTCAATGTTGAACTGTCTATAAACAATCTCCATTCTTCTGGGTTATAGTTTATATTTAAAGCCGCCAGTAAGCCGTTAATGTTACTGCAGAAAACCAAGTTATTCCCCATATTGAAAAATGGTTCTAAGTCTTTGTGGCGTTTACGAAAAACACATACCGAAACATCGTCTTCTAACAAGTTCCACTGCTGCAGTCTTGATCCAAGTAACTCTGCCTTACATTTTGGAAGTTCTAAATCTCTTACAAGATCATTTAATTCTGACTGTGTTATTTTGTGCGGTTGGTGGCATGACGTGCTCGGTATAAAATCAGGATCTCTTGACGTTGATGGCATATCTTCTTCCTGACGAATCACTCGATCGCCATGATCTGATTCGTTTTCTGATTCGCAAGTGTAGGATTCTGGGGGTTTTGGAATAGGATTTTCGTCACTGTGAGGCACAGGTCTCATCGCAGATGGTATGTTTGGGTAGTTAATAACCGATTTTTTTTTCTTGGACATACCTGTGGCTTGTCAAACACAAGGTACCATGCAAAAGTAACAATCATTAATATGATTTGTAGGCTCTCTCCAAACCATTGGGACAGCAAAGCGCATAGACCGTTTTTTGCCATTTAACCGGCTCCTCAGACTTGAAGCACATGTATTACAGCAGATGTGGGGTGCCCACTGTTTGTCTTGATCACCTAGTTTACAACCGAAATAAAGCTGATATGCCTTTGTTATTAGTGGAGTAATAGACCGTCTCTGAGACGCAAAAGTCACATCACCACACACGTAACAAAACTGATCTGGATTGTTAACACACTTTCGAGACATCTTGCATGAACGCTGTCAGCCCACTGAGGAAAAAATGGCTAATATAAAACAATATAATGTACACGTATGTATAACGTAACACAATCATGCTGATTACATCATCTTTCCTTGCCGAATATAAAAATGTAGCACGTGCATTCTTGTGAATTACAGTATATTAACACTGTCACAGCAGGAACACATATAATTACCGTATCTCTAAAACTTGAACTAATATTGAAAAAATAAGTTTCATTCCGGTTTTAGCACATTAAAAACAGTAATATTTTGTTGATTTTATTTAGGATATTTTTTGGCTGTTGATCAGTGTTATTTATCAGACGTAAAATAACGAGAAAACTGAAAGTACCAAAGAGCAAATGGAACAAGGGACCATGTTCTGGCGCTTGAGTACAAAAAACATCAGGATGCCAAGAAATAACTAGATAAGCGCATAGTGGATTCTAAACAAAGGATGTGGAACGAGTTTCTAATTAACATAGAATTCGCGCTACAAATTCAAATTTTGGAACGTTCAGCCGATCATCAACGGAATTTTCTGTGTAAAACTCAGTTCGAAAAATAAGAGGAGAGTGCTCTTTTTGGCCATCTTCCACCAACAATTTCATAAAAAACAATTCGCTGCTGTATTTTAGATTTCAATCACTGTGTAAGTATCTCTATCATATAGCCGCACCACTCTTTAATTTTGGCACTTAAAACTCAGACTGGACTAATATAAGAAATCAAAGTGTTACTGATTATTCTAATTCACTAGAATCTTACCTACATGGTGCTGAATATAGAGTTGCTGATTCCGGAAACAAGAGCCCGTCTGGTTTCAAAAATCTGTCTCTGGCCTCAATGACGGAATTCAGCATTCCTTCATGAAGCAAATAAAAACCCATCCACTCAGATACTATTATATCCACCTTTTCTGGTAACTCAATATCCTCAACTCTACCATTCACAACCTACAATATACACATAAAATAATAATGTGTATACCTTAGTATCTGTATGGTATATAGTCAACGCCAAACAAAGTGGCGTGCACGTCATCACGATAAAAATTCCCCGACCTAATGCCTAGGTTTCTATCACAAACAATTGCTCTATTGCAGTTTCATATTAATGTGATATATAAATTGTAAAATGGTCATTACTCTCTTATTATGGTTAATAGTCATATAAACATTGTTATTAAAATATCACATAAGTTGCTTTCTGATAAATTTAGACGCATTATGCGAAATAAAATGTTTTGCAAACGCTCCAATCACTTATCGACATGTAAACGCACTAAACCGATTTCGCAGCGTTGACACATTGTCACCTTGAAACTTATTTAAACTGGGAACTGACATTTGTATTAATTTTGACACTGAATCAATTTGTGGCATTTCAAATCTTTATAAATCCTTTGGCCCCGCATACTGTAAATCAACAACTGTTTGTTTCAAAACAAAATTATTCATTTTACGAGTAGATAAAGGCAATTTTGGTATATAAAGATGCCCAAACAGTTAAATAGTCGGTGTAAGGAACTCGTGGCCTCGTTAATGCACTACTGTGAGCAAGAAAGGGACAACAACGGGCCTTTGTTGCCTTTAAATGCTGTTCAAGAGGTAGGTTACTAATAATTATATGTAATGTATATAAATAATAGTGAAATTTTATTTCATTTTTTGTAGCGTGTTGCTGCTTCTTTAAAAATTAGTTTAAGGACAGTTAGTCGTATTTCCGAGGGTGTGAAAAGTGATGCAAATTTAGAATCGCCCAAGAAAAAGCGGAGTTATATTAAACGTGTAACCAACACAGCGACATTGGATACAAGTGCCATTCGAGAAGTGATCTATAATATGTATCACAAAAGTAAGATCTTATTATAATAACTTATCAGAAATTTGCATTAATTTGTTAACTAAATTATAATGTCATATTACACATGGTTTCAGAAGAACAAATTACGATACAAACTTTATGGTCTCGATTAAGAGATAGGGCATTATTTGATGGTAGTGCCACGTCTTTAAGGCGGTTGCTTAGAGATCTTGGATTTAAGTGGCTTAAGGACAATCCGCGACGAGGGCTCATGGAACTACCAAGTATAGCTTTGAAAAGGGTGGAATTTCTAAGGCAATACAATCAAGCCAAGGTTGAGGCCTTATACCAGTTTGTCTTCCTCGATGAAACTTGGATATTTCAAAATGGGACCATAGGTCGCTCTTGGCAAAATGGAAACCAAAAAAGCGTGAAAGCTATTTAAACAGATGGTAAAAGGTATGTACTTTTACACAATTTGCACTATAAAATTTAAAACTAATATATTTTAGATACATTATATTACATGCTGGAAATGAAAATGGGTTTATTGAGGGTAGTGAAGCGATATTTTCTTCGAAAACAAAATTGAGCGATTACCATGGAGAGATGAACCAGGACAATTTTTTGAAATGGTTTCAACATCAGTTATTAGAAAAATTGGAGAGTTCATCTATGATTATACTGGATAACGCCCCTTATCACAGCATGATATTGAACAAAGTGCCCAACAATGCATGGACAAAAAAAAATATCCAAGACTGGTTGACAAATCAAAACATACCATTTTTAAACACAATGTTTAAAACAGAGCTATTGAGTATTGTTGCTCGGTACATAATGCTTCTTAATTATATATATTTTGGTCGACAGTTTATATTTCTTTTGTTTATTCCTATTCTTAAAATAACTGCTTTTTTAGAAACAAACCACCTAAAATATACGCGATTGATGAATTGGCGGAACAACATGGGCACAAAGTTCTTCGTCTGCCTCCTTACCATTGTATATTTAACCCTATTGAGTTAATTTGGGGCATAGCAAAAGGTTACTATAACAGACATATTGGTAGAGATGGTAACAGTGAAAAAGACTGTTTGGATATGTGGAACGAGGCTCTACAAACGGTTACCCCAGACGTGTGGAAAAATAGTGTTCGACATACTGAGCAAGAAATTTTTAAATGGTATGAAAGAGAACGAATTTTTGATCGACCAGACATCGAACCTTTAATAATCAACTTTGAGAGTGATGAAGATTCAGATTCAGACAGGGCTGAAGAAAGAAACTCCGACTAACTTTATTGTACAGAAAAAGCTTACACCAGTAGCTTACCTAATTTTAGAATGCATTTTTCTGTATGAATTCTGTAAAATAAATACCATGCATAAAATTTGGAGGACCCCATTTGGATTTTTATTCAGTACCTTTAAGCTATCAATTAAATATGGTAGTTTCATAGTGTCATCTGATCAATAATTGTCATACTTAATGATTATGCAAGTACAGATCTATAATTTTATTATACTATTATTTTTGTTCTCATTTGAGGTTAATATTGCTTATAAACCTAGATATGTAAATAATAAATTTTATTATTTTACAAAAAGTTTGGCAACAATGTAAATTTTTCAACACACCCACCTTGATGACGTGCACGCCACTTTGTTTGGCGTTGACTAAACTGGGATATTTAAGAACAGTAGCTACATGACAAGCTATATCTGACATTAATTGTCACTTGTTTTCAAATATTCCAGAATATAAAATTTCATTTGAAATGACATTATTATTTATATTTACCTAGACTCAAAAATCATCCAATATCTGTTTTTCTTAGAGGGTTTAACACTTTGAACAATGTCCAATCTTGTTTTACTCTTTTAAGAATATGAATAGTAGAATGCATTGAAATCAAAAAAATCTTCCAAATACTCAAAACGACATTTTGTAGGAAGGCATCACAAAAATCCATTCCTTTGGAAATTTGGACATATCAAAATCAAATACGTTGGCAGTGTCAAAGATATTGCCTGCTTAGAAGCACTTCAAGAGTAGTGACTAAAAGATTGAAAACATTATTTGGTTTTACCTTGATTACGCTGCTAAAGTTATTTTCTGCCGCAAGTTCTTCTGCTATGGTGTAGACATTGCTGGCTTCCACAGCATATACAGTTTTTGCACCAGCCTGGGCACAAAGGACTGAAAGGAACCCTGTTCCTGCACCAACATCTAGGACAACTTTATCTTTAAATAGCTCTTTATTATCGTGTATTGATTCTCTGTATGCTTTATTCCTTGGCGCATCCTCTAACATTAGTTTGTGAATCTGAAAGTCACCCGCTTGTACCGAATTCAAACAATTGACAATAATTTTACTCACCCCTATATCTTCATAGCTTTCAAAATAGTCACCAGTTTCCATTGATTCCAACTTTTAAAGGAGAAAAACAATGTAAAACCAGTAAAAACTTGGATCTTAGATGTGAAAACAATCGGTTTCTTACATAGGTTAAGTAGATTGTCATAAATCTGTCACTGTCGGATGTCATTCTGCCATGAATACCTGAGCAACGGAAGAGCAGTGTAGCCATGTCAAGGCGTATAGTCCAGTTTTAATGTACTTTCTAGTTCATGTCGGTGAACTAGTTCAATAAATCGCTCTTATCAAGACAAACTAGTTGTAGGAACTAGTTCGAGAACGAACTAATAAGAAAGTGAAAGAGTCCCATCAATCTTTCATCCGATCATCACACATCATATTGTTATTTGTTTTTCATATTCGTGTGTTAATATGGATGTTTAAAATTTAAATACTCAACGTAAACTGTCTCTTACATAGTAGATATAGCTATGAGATAGACATGTTTTCTAACATTCTCAAATAATATGGAATACACTTTTGTTTTCACCAGTTCAGGAGGCTTATAATGAATAATGCATATCTACCTCTGATTAGAGTTGGCAGTTGTTCTCTTTTCGGAGAAACAGTATTTTTTAGTATCGCAGACGATAGCCAAGCGGAAAATGAAATGAAGAACAGTCTCAGGCCATTTGGACGATTCTGACCTTGAGGTAAAACGAGTATCATACATAGAGCACAGTACTATACCTCCTCACGGTCCTGTGATCCTGATAGAAAGTCACCGTTTATCAATTTTACGGGAAAAGTCTGGTCGAAAGTGCGACCTTCAGAAACCTATGGATCTGTATCAGGATCGCAGATACGACACGACGTATCGACGCCATGGATTTGAATTTCGTGCTTATCTCATAGCAGGAGCAATTATTTGCAAACGTCCTTGCATTTAGGTAAATCTACCAATTTAGAGAAGTAAGCCTTATCGATAATGCGACTCATGGATCTGCATCAGGATCGCAGAAACCCCGGGGAGCAAAGATGCCAAGGATCCAATTTCACGCGAGTACCATAGAAAGAGCACAATACTGTTTTCCTCGCGGTTCCGTGATCCTGCTAGCAAGTGACCATGCGCCAAAATATAAATCTGTATCAGGATCGCAGAAATGGTAAAAGGCATTGATGCAATGTATTTGGATTTCGTTCTTATCTCATAGCAGGTGCAATTATTTGCCAACCTCCTCGCGTTTCTGTGAACCTGATGACAAGTGTCCAATCTTCCAATTTTACGAAGAAAACCTGATCTACAGTGCGCCTTTAAGAAACTTATATATAGATTTGCATCGGGATCGCAGACACGACAAGAAGTATCGATGCCATGGATTTGAATTTCGTTCTTATCTCATAGCTGAAACAAAGTACCATTTGCAAACCTCCTCGTGTTTCTGTAATGCTGATAGCAACTAGTCTCCCAAAAATTTTACTAGAAAAGTCTGGACGGCACTGCCATTTTCAGAAATCCAGAAATCAGTAGTAGGATCGCAGAAACGGCAAGAGGTAACGATATAATGGATTTGAATTATGTTCTTATCTCATAGCAGGAACAGAGTAGTATTTCCATACCTCCTCGCGTTTCTGTGAACCTGATAACAAGTCTCCAATCCACTAATTTTACCGAAGATCTGTCGTCGACAGTGCCATATTTAGAAACATATAGATCTATATCAGGATTGCAGAAACGATTAGGAGCATAGATGCCAGAGATTGAAATTTTGCGCCAAAATAATAGCATGAGCAGAGTGCAGTCTGGACGACGGTTCAATTTATAGAAACTTATAGATCTGTACCAGGATCGCAGAAACAGCAAGACGTATCGACGCCATGGATTTGAGTTTCGTGCTTATCTCATAGCAGGAGCAAATATTTGCAAACTTCCTCGCGCTTTTGTAAATCTTATAAGTCTCCAATCTACCAATTTAGCGAAGTAAGCTTTATCGATAATGCGACTCATGGATCTGCATCAGGATCGCAGAAACGCCGGGGAGCATAGATGCCAAGGATCCAATTTCACGCGAGTAGCATAGAAATAGTACAGTACTGTTCACATACCTCCTCGCGGTTCTGCGATCCTGATAGCAAGTGACCGTCCGCCAAAATATAAATCTGTATCAGGATCGCAGAAATGGTAAAAGGTATTGATGTCATGGATTTGGATTTCGTTCTTATCTCATAGCAGGAGCAATTATTTGCCAACCTCCTAGCGTTTCTGTGAATCTGATAACAAGTGTCCAATCTTCCAATTTTACGAAGAAAGCCTGATCTACAGTGCGACTTTAAGAAACTTATGTGTAGATTTGCATCAGGATCGCAGACACGGCAAGGAGTATCGATGCTATGGATTTGAATTTCGCTGTTATCCCATAGCAGGAGCAAGGTACAATTAGCATACCTCCTCGCGTTTCTGTGATCCTGATAGCAACTCCTCTTCGACGAGATTACAATCCAATCGCAGCAGACTTTATCTACTATATGTTTGTGCCTGTCATATTTGACTCTTTTCGAAGTCTGAGCAAGCAGTGTTGATAGCAGAAATAGACTAGAAGCCGATGAAGTTAAAAAAAATAATGTTTTTAAATGGAAATTTATGCCAATTGTAGGGTGTCGAACGTTGGAAGCATCGTGTGGGATCCGCATAACCTATTCTTGTCACCTGGATTGCGGTGTTGTCAGATCACCTGATATTTTTGCTAGCTAAAGATTGGTAGCATTGCAAGTTCCTGAATGACAGTTGACGCTGACAGTCTGATGACAGTGACATATTATTGGATAATATTACATACGCAAATAACGAGATAATAGAGAGTTGTTGCAGCAAGTTTATTTTCTTAAAAATGAGTTCGACAGATACGGCCTCCCCAAAAGCTTTCGCCGAAAAACAAGCTGAACGTATGAAAAAACTTCGAGAGCTGCATCGGTTGAGAAACGAAGCCCGAACTCACAACCACCAAGAAGTCGTGGCTGAAGATGCGAGGAACAAACTCCCAGCGAACTGGGAAAGCCGCAAGAAAAAGGCAGAGTGGATTCTGAATGATCAGAAAGAAAGAGAGGAGGCAGCTGAAAAAGGCGTCGATTACGACAGGACGAAGCTGCTGAATGTATCCGCACTTGAAGCTGAGCGGTTTGAAAAGATGAAGAAAAAGAAGAATCCGGATCAGGGGTTCTCAGACTATGAGGCTGCATCTATCAGGCAGTACAACAGGTAAGGAGTCGCTTAGTTCTGTAGAGCATTCCTCAGTCTTGTAGCATCATGATCTTAGTGATATGATTTGACTAAACTGAGACTGCCAAACTAGTGAAAGTAGATTACTTCTGCTAAAATGTATCTTGAATTAATATTCGTCAAATTTTGGCAATGAGCAACTGTCCGCTTAAAGGAGGTGTCCATGTAAAAGGGATGTCCGTGAAAGAGAATTTCTCTGTATATGTATCATGTCAGTCAAATAGGACCTTACAATTAGTCCACACTCATTTTGCAATGTTGCACTCTAGAAATTTATTCCCTATACCTTTGTATCTCCCCTTACCAATTTCTGCTGAAAATGTTCCTTTTAAGGTTGGTGAAGAGCCTTCCTCCAAAAGACATGGAAAGGTACGAAGAACAAAAGCGTAAATACGGGGACGCCTTTTATGCAAGCAAAAACACGATAATCCATGGTCTACATGAAGACAGGCCTGAAGCTGTGGACAATCTGGTGAAGAGTGTGGAAGATCAGATTGCAAAGAGGAACAAGTATTCCAGAAGAAGGACCCATAATGATGATGCAGACATTGACTATATCAATGAGAGGAATGCCAAGTTTAATAAGAAGATGGACAGGTTTTATGGAGAACATACCGCTGAAATCAAGCAGAATTTGGAGAGAGGGACAGCTGTGTGAATTTGTATTTTTTTTATCGTTGTGTATATAAAAGGACAATTGAAGACATTTCACTACAGAGTTTGAAATCCTGCATTGTCTTATGGAAGAAACAGAGCTCTTATAGCAGTGTTTCCAAAACTTTTTCTTTATTGTTTAAGTTTAAACTAAATACATTAATTAAGATAATCCATTTCTGGAACTCGGAATATTTCTCTGCGTGAAATTTGAGTAGGTTCTTTTATTTTGGGATTTATTATGTCCGACTTTTCATAAAACAGTTCGTCCTTTCTTGCTGGCCATTTCAAGTATACCCTATATTTTTCCATCGCACTTAAAAATATACCATCATTTTCAACTTTTGTTATTTTTCCGGGAAACATTTGATCTTGGTAACATACTATAGCATAATTATTAGATTGTAGTTGAACGTCTTCTACATCTATTTGCTTAAAGCTTTCTATATCTTCTTCGTTAGATATAAGGTCTACAAAGTCTTCCAGGTGCGAATTGGATGAAACAACTCTTTCTCTAAAAGAAATGCTAGTTAAACCTTCGCTACTGTCTGAGGTACATTTTCCGATTCATTTGCAAGGCAATCAAAAAACCATTAAGAATGTCACGATTCACTGCAGCTGTTGAAACGCTTATGTTTCGTGCTACCCTATTTGCAACCATATCCTTGTTTCTATTAAGAAATGAGGCAACCTAGTCATTCCCTGGACAGTTTTGTTTAAAACACTTTACTGTCCTTCCCCTCTTATCCAGGTAGGACAACTATAATTTTTAGATCCTGAGTTGTAACAGGAAAATTATAGGTTGAAACTGCAATTATATGGGCAACCACAGACTCCTTGGTTAAGATGGTTTGGCCACCATGATGCACAGTGCGTTTTGCATGGAGTTTATTTAGTAAAGTATTGCGATGAACTCCGTATCTAAAAAATGTTATTCATTATTAATGGATATACAGGGTGTTTCAGTTTATTGTTGCATAACTTTAAGATACGATAGAATTTTTAAAATTAATGCATAAAGTCTATATAAACATGGGTCGAAAAATGCGTGGCTTCCGAAATATTAAATTTACTTTCTAAAATAGTTTTTTTTGGTACGACAAAACGAACCATGGGCATACTTTTACTGTAGCCGCTAGGGGGCGCTCTCTACTGTACCTGTAGTGTATTAAAATGACCGAAAAAATTTTCTTGGTGCAATTTTTTGCTTTTTGAATAAAAAAACTGATGCTTCGCACTTTTCAACATAAAAAAGCTCTCCTGTGAGTTTTCGTTATAGTTAGCCGTTTTTAAGATATTTCGATTTTTAAGGTTCGATGCATTTTTAATTATTTATGGGAAAATAATATTTTTTTTACAATTTAGATTTGGGCATTACAAGTAATTAAGATGATCGTTTAGATTGTGTTTTTAAACACAGTAATAATTCCTAACTCCAAATAAACACAAAAAAACAGAATATTAATTTGTTTAATTTTACAATATTATTTTTAACAAATTAAATTAATTATTTATAACTAAAATGCTATTGGATAGTCAGGACAAACAGACAAAATCTAAAGTAGTTGCTCGAAATTTAAACCCAATTGTTCAATACACAATTCACATCTACGAATGATCGAACGTGGTATAGCATTATTCAAATAAGGACTCATTTCATCACATGCATTCCTGATTCTGTCTATTAGCATATCTCTTGTGGTTACGGGAGTCTGGTACACTTTTTCTTTTAGAAATCCCCACACAAAGAAATCTAATGGATTTAGGTCAGGGGATCGTGGAGGCCAGGCGACTGGTCCTCCACGGCCGATCCATCCTTATTCTGTTTTCAATTTCAAAAATATTTGCAGGCTCAGCCTACTTCTAAAAATTATCTAGATAATACTGACTTTTTAACGTTATTTTATCATAAATAATAAAAAATGCATCGAACCTTAAAAATCGAAATATCTCAAAAACGGCTAACTACAACGAAAATTCACAAGATAACTTTTTTATGCTGAAGAGTGCGGAGAATCAGTTTTTTTATTCAAAAAGCAAAAAATTGCACTAAGAAATTTTTTTCGGTCATTTTAATACACTACAGGTACAGTAGAGAGCGCCCTCTAGCGGCTACAGTAAAACTATGCCCATGGTTCGTTTTGTCGTACCAAAAAACCCTTGTATACCAATTTTCACTGTTATACATCAAATATTGTTCGAAATATTTAAAAAAAAAACTATTTTAGAAAGTAAATTTAAACACCCTGTATTTCGGAAGCCACGCATTTTTCGACCCATGTTTATATAGACTTTATGCATTAATTTTAAAAGTTCTATCGAATCTTAAAGTTATGCAACAATAAACTGAAACACCCTGTATATTGTTTACAAAATACCTCTCAGCCGCTTGTCGTATGGTCATAGTTTTACTTCTTATTTGTCTTAGGGCGTCTTGCAAGCTCTCTTCTGTATAATTTTTGTATTGACGACTCCCTGGAGTTCGTTTGTATTTTCGGGGCATTACTAAAGTTTAAAAAAAAGGGTCACAATTTAATCCCGTCTGGTCGGGTAAAAGGTATAAGGGGTGAAATTGTGCGAACAATGTGTCACAACGTCACCTCACGTTTTGTTCATTTCGTATCTAATGCGACGCCATTTTGATAAAACACACCTTTGATATTATTCAAGTAGATGATTATAATATAGTCAAAAAATGAGATTACAAGATTCAGGTATAAAGATAACTTTTACAAAAACAAATTACTTTGTACAAATCTAATTCTAAATGTAATTTAATGATCCTCATAATGGGTGGAGCGACGACGCATTGCGCGCGCAGCGCTTTCGCGGTCATTACCGGAAATATTTTGAGTTTTAGGCGGGAAAACCGGCTTGTCACAAAGTCATCCCGATGTCACAAAGTAAGTATGTAAAAGAAGTTTTTCTTCCTTCCTGCAAAAGTATAATTGGTTTGTATAGATCTGTACGTTAGTTAACAAATGGAGAGAATTTACCTGTCTTTACAAAGTTAATATTTGATTTATACAAAACCTGATTAAGTTATAGTGTGAAATGATGTAATTCATACCTTTTTTGATGTACAATATGTATATATGTAAGAATAAAAACACATATTTATCAAAATAAGCAATTTTCTTAATTCTCGATACAAATTGTACCATTATTTACATTAATTGATTTAAATATGTTGCTTAAAACAATAGTTCGGTGAGCAATTTTATATTCAAATGTGATAAAAGTCGTCTATGAATGAAATATAAAATACATTCTAGCCGTTCAGGATAGTCATCCGCCTCTTGCACTGCTATAGGACCCAAGAATGCGTGATACCTGGAACAAAATCGTGCTAATCAATTTGAATCATCAGTGCCATTGAAATTTTGAATATTTTTTCTACCAGCGTGCGGAAAGTACTCAATTTCTATACGCATCTGCGTGCAAAAAGTAGCACTTTTCGGCACGCATTACGTATATATTCTTATTAAATTGAATATTTAAATTAACTAATATAAACTACTAATATGATATTTACTATTATTAAATTTCGAATAAAACATATAGTACGTATACAAAGTGTCATATGAATCCGAACACCCAGTTTAAATGGTTCTTTACGATCGGTTACGATGCCTAGAGTACGGAGACCTGTACGATTTCGTCAACTTAGTGAGTTTGATAGGGGCTGTATAGTGGGACTTCGGGAAGCTGGACTTTCTTTTCGGGCAATTGCAGTTAGAGTGCAAAGAAGTGTAGACACTGTGGTTAGGTGTTGTCAGGCATGGCTTCGAGAAGGCCGTACGCAAAGAGCAAGGGGCACTGGACGCCGCCGTAGAACAACAGACCGTGAAGATCGTCGCCTAAGATTATTGGCCTTAAGGGACCGTTTCTCCACTACCAGGTCCATTGCAAATGAATGGTTTGCAGAACACGGAAGACCTATTGGCATGCGAAGTGTTTACCGACGAATGAGAAGTTTTGGCTTGTTTTCATACCGGCCACACTGGGTCCTCCCTTTAACTCGAGAACACCGACGTAATCGCCTTGAGTGGTGCAGACAACGGTCACTCTGAGATCAGGAATGGAACAGTATTGTCTTTAGTGACGAGTCTCGATTTTGTTTAGGCATGCACGATGGTCGTGCCAGGGTTAGAAGGCGACGTGGTGAAAGGAGGAATCCACAGTTTTTTCTTGAAAGACATCTTCATCACACTTTTGGAGTTATGGTTTGGGGTGCTATAGCTTATGGTTCCAGGTCACCTTTAATCTTCATCAGAGGTAACATGAACGCGCAGCGTTATATCCACGAAGTTCTAGAACCCCATCTTTTACCCTATCTTGACACCCTGGCAGATCCAACTTTCCAACAAGATAATGCCCGACCACATGTTGCAAGAGTCACAATAGACTTCTTTCAACATAATGATGTCACATTGTTACCATGGCCACCAAGATCTCCCGACTTATCCCCAATTGAGCACGTGTGGGATATGATGGGTAGGAGATTGCTCAATTTGCAACGTCCTCATCAGACTCTAGAAGCACTTCGAGAGGAGTTGGTGGTTGCCTGGAATGAGATACCACAGGAGAACATTGACCACCTGATCAGAAGCATACCTAGGCGCGTTGGAGAATGCGTAGCACATCAGGGTGCATCCACACATTATTAAAGGTCAAAGGGCTTTAAAGCAGTGCAATCATTTTGAAATTTTTATCATTTACTTATTATGCTTCATTAAGTACTTATACAAAATTTTATTAAAATAAAACCATTTAAACTGGGTGTTCGGATTTATATGTCACTTAGTATATTTAAAATTCTGGGTTTATTTTCTCGCGCTACGCTGTTGGAAAAAATCTTATACCTTAAACTTGCAGAAAGTGTATTATCCGTCCTTGACTACAATTGAATAAGTACTGTCCGACCGAAACTACTATTTCAGCTGAAACCGAAATTTCGGTTTAATTTTAGTTTCGATCGAAACAGAAACTTCCAACTGAGTATGACATAGGAGGTTGGGAGGTGAAATAGTAGTGTATCTGTAAGAAAAAATTAACTCTTCGTAAATTAATATTAGTAATAGTAATAGCTGTTTATAATTAAAGAAAAAAACAAAATTTGGCACGTGAGGGTGACGGCGACGAATTTCGTCATTGCGCATGTCCGACCGGTGCCGAGCGTCGCCAATAGGCGCTTCTTGTTGGGAGTGGTGGTGGAGGAGGCGACAAATACGATGGTGTTGCCATATTTCGCTTAGCATCACGCACAGCAAAGTTACAGCGTTGCGAACCCTTGTATCTAATCAGTCTTTATCAAATTTGATTAAGATTTAGGTAGGGAAAACTATAACAGTACTACATTTATCTCTGAAAACACAAAATAAATAATGTCTTTTGTTTCCAACATTTTGTAAAAAACAGACTATAAAACAAAAATGACTTATGGCCTGTTTTACTAGTACGATTCAATATTAGTTTACTCGGAAACATATACTAAGTGACATATAAATCCGAACACCCAGTTTAAATGGTTTTATTTTAATAAAAGTCGGTGAATCTATTTATCTTACTGTAAATAACAAGTGAAAAATTTTTCAGCCTTATCAGTAGGACATTCAGGTTTTTATACTGCTTTTTTTAATTCACTAACGCTCTACAAATGAATATTTCAGCCGCAGTAAAGGATCAACGTTGGCGGATTTTGGTTCTTTACGATCGGTTACGATGCCTAGAGTACGGAGACCTGTACGATTTCGTCAACTTAGTGAGTTTGATAGGGGCCGTATAGTGGGACTTTGGGAAGCTGGACTTTCTTTTCGGGCAATTGCAGTTAGAGTGCAAAGAAGTGTAGACACTGTGGTTAGGTGTTGTCAGGCATGGCTTCGAGAAGGCCGTACGCAAAAAGCAAGGGGCACTGGACGCCGCCGTAGAACAACAGACCGTGAAGATCGCCGCCTAAGATTATTGGCCTTAAGGGACCGTTTCTCCACTACCAGGTCCATTGCAAATGAATGGTTTGCAGAACACGGAAGACCTATTGGCATGCGAAGTGTTTACCGACGAATGAGAAGTTTTGGCTTGTTTTCATACCGGCCACACTGGGTCCTCCCTTTAACTCGAGTACACCGACGTAATCGCCTTGAGTGGTGCAGACAACGGTCACTCTGGGATCAGGAAAGGAACAGTATTGTCTTTAGTGACGAGTCTCGATTTTGTTTAGGCATGCACGATGGTCGTGCCAGGGTTAGAAGGCGACGTGGTGAAAGGAGGAATCCACAGTTTTTTGTTGAAAGACATGTTCATCACACTGTTGGAGTTATGGTTTAGGGTGCTATAGCTTATGGTTCCAGGTCACCTTTAATCTTCATCAGAGGTAACATGAACGCGCAGCGTTATATCCACGAAGTTCTAGAACCCCATCTTTTACCCTATCTTGACATCCTGGCAGATCCAACTTTCCAACAAGATAATGCCCGACCACACGTTGCAAGAGTCGCAATAGACTTCTTTCAACATAATGATGTCACATTGTTACCATGGCCACCAGGATCTCCCGACTTATCCCCAATTGAGCACGTGTGGGATATGATGGGTAGGAGATTGCTCAATTTGCAACGTCCTCCTCAGACTCTAGAAGCACTTCGAGCGGAGTTGGTGGTTGCCTCGAATGAGATACCACAGGAGGACATTGACCACCTGATCAGAAGCATGCCTAGGCGCGTTGGAGAATGCGTAGCACATCAGGGTGCATCCACACATTATTAAAGGTCAAAGCGCTTTAAAGCAGTGCAATCATTTTGAAATTTTTATCATTTACTTATTATGCTTCATTAAGTACATTTTATTAAAATAAAACCATTTAAACTGGGTGTTCGGATTTATATGTCACTTAGTATAGTTTAACTTGAACATTTCTATTGCACAAGTACTTACATCCCGTTTAAGATTTTGTAAACCACGTTTAACTTAAACGATGGTCATGATGATACTAGTATTTTAAACGATGATTTCGGCATCCCTTAACTAATAAATAGTGGTTTTCTATAAGAATTATTCAAAGACCCCTGGAGAATAGTAACTGTGACAGTTTTGAGTATTCTGCCTGAAATTGAGCTTGAACTGCAATTCCCCAATCATTTCTGAATTATCTACGATCTTGAATTAGGTACATAAGGAGTCCCCAGATTTCTGTAGTCTTAAAAAACTCAAATTCAATGTTGGTGCAACAGGCCATTAGAAACTGATAATCACAATCGAACAGTATTTTATATGAAATGAATAACAATTTTTCAACATGTTCCTCTACAAAGTTTGACTTTTGGTCTGAATAAATGACATGACAAAAATAAGTGATGTACATTTCATATAATATCGAAAAAGTTACATATTTCCGAAACTTTTCATAACGTGCCAGGTTATGGTTGCCTATCTCGAAGGGAAACCTGCAGTCAAGAAAAACGCCTTAATGCCTGAAACTTTTTTTATCTATCTATGTTAAAATAAACCCATGCAAAGTGTTAAGCAAAACAAAACAATAGAAGCAATCAAAAATATCACTTTTCATCTTAGGAGCGTTTTATTTTATTCGTTTTTTATGTTTTTTCGAACCCATATCCAAATATGTTTAATTTTGAAACGATCTGTTTTGAAAAATCTTCTGTTTTGTTGAATCCAAGTTCTGCAATGGATCGAGAGTGGCCGTCTAGTTTTTGCAGTCAGCTGTTAAAAATCAACATCATTCCAAAGGTTAATGTATTAGCTGCAAACTCTGAAGTTTTAAAAACAAAACAAAAAACACCACACTCAAAATTCTTACGTCTTGTTATTCTGGGCGTAACATGTATGTGGATATTATCTCCTGGTGCGGCGGAAACTGCGAAAACAAACAATTTTTCAACGATTTTTATTCAATATATATTATAACATGTAACAACAAAATACAATAAGATCACACAGAAAGCGTAAACCTAATGCTATTTATATTTCATATGGACGTCAACAAAATAAGATTTTAACAAGGATAAAAATAGATACAGGTATATAAAAATGCGATGTTTTCCGTTAAGATTTAGCTTTTAGCTAGAATTAGCATACATTTTACATGATAGCTCCTCAAGAAATGGAAAAACGTTCATATTTATGTACTTTTGAAAATAGCGATTTAGTTATAGAAGAAAATAATATTCAGCAAATAGATAACAAAATGGCATTATTGCCTTTATAGCATCCTTGTTTTAAATGAGACACTTTGAAATCATAAATGTAAGTGACGTTCATTGTCATTTATTGAAAAACTACCATGAAATGTCGTACGAGATTTTCTTTTGAGCTATTAGATCATGCGATTTTTTAGCAAAAATCCTTAAATTTTCTGAGCAAAAAATTCATTTCACAGACTTGAGTGATGTTTTATAACAGACGTAATTACCACCAACTATAAACTATTATTGAACAGCTAAGCTATTTTTTATGATTATTAACCATGGTACAATCAGCAAACGTGATGATGTTCAAGAACATTAGACGACGATCTGCCAGGTACCACTTTCGTCTGATTTCATACCGATTCCCTCGAAAACAGCCTGTTGGTCTAGTAAGACACTGCTCGCATACATTCAGGTCAGGATGATTCAGAAATAACAAGCCGTGTTACTACCAGCAAACGTGACAATGTCCAAAAACATTACGCGCTTATCTGCTAGGTACTGTTTGCATCTGATTTCGACTATTTTCCTCAACAACAAACCCTGTTGGCCAATCAACACTCCCAGCACATCATTAAAACTAAAAGACCTTGCCATATCGTTCAAACTAGGCAACGTCCGAAAAATCACGCTAAGGTTAACGCTGGCCGTACTATGAACGATCCTGGGTATGTCGCACTGCTCGCACAGGTTCAGATTGTGGTGGTTTCTGAACTAAAAAACGATCAGCAAACGTGATCTTGTTCGAGAACATTACGCGCCGACCTACTAGGTACTACTTGCGTTTGAGTTCCATTATTTTCCTGGAAACAAACTCTTTTGGCCTAGTAAGACTACCAAAAGGCCTAGGCATATCATGAAAGCTAAAGACCTTGTCATATTGTTCAAACTACGCAGCGACTCAAAACTTACACCAGGACTGATACGCGTCGTACCATGGAGAATCCTGGGCTTACTGCACTGCTCGCACAGGGTCAGATCAGGAGATTAGGAAATGTAATAGAATCAAACAACCACCAGCAAACGTGATCTTGTTCGAGAACATTACGCGCCGACCTACTAGGTACTACTTGCGTCTGAGTTCCACTATTTTCGTGGAAACAAATTTTTTTGGCCTAGTAACACTACCAAAAGGCCTAGGCATATCATGAAAGCTAAAAGACCTTGTCATATTGTTCAAACTACGCAGCGACTCAAAACTTGCACCAGGATTGATGAGAGTCGTACCATTGAGAATCCTGGGCTTACTGAACTGCTCGCACAGAGTCAGATCGGGAGGTTACGAAATGTAATAAAATCAAACAACCATCAGCAAACGTGATCATGTTCGAGAACATTACGCGCCAACCTACTAGGTACTACTTGCGTCTGAGTTCCACTATTTTCCTGGAAACAAACTCTTTTGGCCTAGTAACACTACCAACAGGCCTAGGCATATCATGAAAGCTAAAAGACCTTGTCATATTGTTCAAACTACGCAGCGACTTAAAACTTACACCAGGACTGATACGCGTCGTACCATGGAGAATCCTGGGCTTACTGCACTGCTCGCACAGGGTCAGATCAGGAGATTAGGAAATGTAATAGAATCAAACAACCACCAGCAAACGTGATCTTGTTCGAGAACATTACGCGCCGACCTACTAGGTACTACTTGCGTCTGAGTTCCACTATTTTCCTGGAAACAAACTCTTTTGGCCTAGTAACACTACCAAAAGGCCTAGACATATCATGAAAGCTAAAAGAGCTTGTCATATTGTTCAAACTACGCAGCGACTCAAAACTTGCACCAGGATTGATGAGAGTCGTACCATTGAGAATCCTGGGCTTACTGAACTGCTCGCACAGAGTCAGATCGGGAGGTTACGAAATGTAATAAAATCAAACAACCATCAGCAAACGTGATCATGTTCGAGAACATTACGCGCCAATCTACTAGGTACTACTTGCGTCTGAGTTCCATTATTTTCCTGGAAACAAACCCTTTTGGCCTAGTAACACTACCAAAAGGCCTAGGCATATCATGAAAGCTAAAAGACCTTGTCATATTGTTCAAACTACGCAGCGACTCAAAACTTACACCAGGATTGATGAGAGTCGTACCATCCTGGGCTTAATGAACTGCTCGCACAGAGTCAGATCGGGAGGTTACGAAATGTAATAGAATCAAACAACCGTCAGCAAACGTGATCATGTTCGAGAACATTACGCGCCGACCTACTAGGTACTACTTGCGTTTGAGTTCCATTATTTTCCTGGAAACAAACCCTTTTGGCCTAGTAACACTACCAAAAGACGTAGGCATATCACGAAAGCTAAAAGACCTTGTCATATTGTTCAAACTACGCAGCGACTCAAAACTTGCACCAGGATTGATGAGAGTCGTACCATGGAGAATCCTGGGCTTACTGAACTGCTCGCACAGAGTCAGATCGGGAGGTTACGGAACGTAATAAGGCCAAACAACCATCAGCAAACGTGATCTTGTTCGAGAACATTACGCGCCGACCTACTAGGTACTACTTGCGTTTTGAGTTCCATTATTTTCCTGGAAACAAACCCTTTTGGCCTAGTACACTACCAAAAGGCCTAGGCATATAATGAAAGCTAAAAGGCCTTGTCATATTGTTCAAACTACGCAGCGACTCAAAACTTGCACCAGGAATGATGAGAGTCGTACCATTGAGAATCCTGGGCTTACTGAACTGCTCGCACAGAGTCAGATCGGGAGGTTACGGAACGTAATAAGGCCAAACAACCATCAGCAAACGTAATCTTGTTCGAGAACATTACGCGCCGACCTACTAGGTACTACTTGCGTTTGAGTTCCATTATTTTCCTGGAAACAAACCCTTTTGGCCTAGTACACTACCAAAAGGCCTAGGCATATAATGAAAGCTAAAAGGCCTTGTCATATTGTTCAAACTACGCAGCGACTCAAAACTTGCACCAGGATTGATGAGAGTCGTACCATTGAGAATCCTGGGCTTACTGAACTGCTCGCACAGAGTCAGATCGGGAGGTTACGAAACGTAATAGAATCAAACAACCATCAGCAAACGTGATCATGTTCGAGAACATTACGCGCCGACCTACTAGGTATTACTTGCGTCTGAGTTCCACTATTTTCCTGAAAACAAACTCTTTTGGCCTAGTAACACTACCAAAAGGCCTAGGCATATCATGAAAGCTAAAAGACCTTGTCATATTGTTCAAACTACGCAGCGACTCAAAACTTACACCAGGATTGATGGAAGTCGAACCATAGAGAATCCTGGACTTACTGAACTGCTCGCACAGAGTCAGATCGGGAGGTTACGAAACGTAACAGATTCAAACAACCATCAGTAAACGTGATCTTGTTCGAGAACATTACGCGCCGACCTACTAGGTACTACTTGCGTTTGAGTTCCATTGTTTTCCTGGAAACAAACCCTTTTGGCCTAGTAACACTACCAAAAGGCCTAGGCATATCATGAAAGCTAAAAGACCTTGTCATATTGTTCAAACTACGCAGCGACTCAAAACTTGCACCAGGATTGATCAGAATCGTACCATTGCGAATCCTGGGCTTACTGAACTGCTCGCACAGAGTCAGATCCGGAGGTTACGAAACGTAATAGATTCAAACAACTATCAGCAAACGTGATCATGTTCGAGAACATTACGCGCCGACCTACTAGGTACTACTTGCGTTTGAGTTCCATTATTTTCCTGGAAACAAACCCTTTTGGCCTAGTAACACTACCAAAAGGCCTAGGCATATCACGAAAGCTAAAAGACCTTGTCATATTGTTCAAACTACGCAGCGACTCAAAACTTACACCAGGATTGATCAGAATCGTACCATTGCGAATCCTGGGCTTACTGAACTGCTCGCACAGAGTCAGATCGGGAGGTTACGAAATGTAATAGAATCAAACAACCATCAGCAAACGTGATCTTGTTCGAGAACATTACGCGCCGACCTACTAGGTACTACTTGCGTTTGAGTTCCATTATTTTCCTGGAAACAAACCCTTTTGGCCTAGTAACACAACCAAAAGGCCTAGGCATATCATGAAAGCTAAAAGACCTTGTCATATTGTTCAAACTACGCAGCGACTCAAAACTTGCACCAGGATTCATGAGAGTCGTACCATTGAGAATCCTGGGTTTACTGAACTGCTCGCACAGAGTCAGATCGGGAGGTTACGAAACGTAATAGAATCAAACAACCATCACCAAACGTGATCATGTTCGAGAACATTACGCGCCGACCTACTAGGTACTACTTGCGTTTGAGTTCCATTGTTTACCTGGAAACAAACCCTTTTGGCCTAGTAACACAACCAAAAGGCCTAGGCATATCATGAAAGCTAAAAGACCTTGTCATATTGTTCAAACTACGCAGCGACTCAAAACTTACACCAGGATTGATGAGAGTCGTACCATTGAGAATCCTGGGCTTACTGAACTGCTCGCACAGAGTCAGATCGGGAGGTTACGAAACGTAATAGAATCAAACAACCATCACCAAACGTGATCATGTTCGAGAACATTACGCGCCGACCTACTAGCTACTACTTGCGTTTGAGTTCCATTATTTTCCTGGAAACAAACCCTTTTGGCCTAGTAACACTACCAGAAGGCCTAGGCATATCAGGAAAGCTAAAAGACCTTGTCATATTGTTCAAACTACGCAGCGACTCAAAACTTGCACCAGGACTGATGAGAGTCGTACCATTGAGAATCCTGGGCTTACTGAACTGCTCGCACAGAATCAGATCGGGAGGTTACGAAATGTAATAGATTCAAACAACCATCAGCAAACGTGATCATGTTCGAGAACATTACGCGCCGACCTACTAGGTACTACTTGCGTTTGAGTTCCATTATTTTCCTGAAAACAAACCCTTTTGGCCTAGTAACACTACCAAAAGGCCTAGGCATATCATGAAAGCTAAAAGACCTTGTCATATTGTTCAAACTACGCAGCGACTCAAAACTTACACCAGGATTAATGAGAGTCGTACCATTGAGAATCCTGGGCTTACTGAACTGCTCGCACAGAGTCAGATCGGGAGGTTACGAAACGTAATAGATTCATACAACCACCAGCAAACGTGATCTTGTTCGAGAACATTACGCGCCGACCTACTAGGTACTACTTGCGTTTAAGTTCCACTATTTTCCTGGAAACAAACCCTTTTGGCCTAGTAACACTACCAAAAGGCCTGGGCATATCATGAAAGCTAAAAGACCTTGTCATATTGTTCAAACTACGCAGCGACTCAAAACTTGCTCCAGGATTGATGAGAGTCGTACCATTGAGAATCCTGGGCTTACTGAACTACTCGCACAGAGTCACATCGGGATGTTACGAAATTTAATAGAATCAAACAACCATCAGCAAACGTGATCATGTTCGAGAACATTATGCGCCGACCTACTAGGTACTACTTGCGGCTGAGTTCCACTATTTTCCTGGAAACAAACTCTTTTGGCCTAGTAACACTACCAAAAGGCCTAGGCATATCACGAAAGCTAAAAGACCTTGTCATATTGTTCAAACTACGCAGCGACTCAAAACTTACACCAGGATTGATGAGAGTCGTACCATTGAGAATCCTGGGCTTACTGAACTGCTCGCACAGAGTCAGATCGGGAGGTTACGAAACGTAATAGAATCAAACAACCATCAGCAAACGTGATCTTGTTCGAGAACATTACGCGCCGACCTACTAGGTACTACTTGCGTTTGAGTTCCATTATTTTCCTGGAAACAAACCCTTTTGGCCTAGTAACACTACCAAAAGGCCTAGGCATATCATGAAAGCTAAAAGACCTTGTCATATTGTTCAAACTACGCAGCGACTCAAAACTTACACCAGGATTGATGAGAGTCGTACCATCGAGAATCCTGGGCTTACTGAACTGCTCGCACAGAGTCAGATCGGGAGGTTACGAAACGTAATAGATTCATACAACCACCAGCAAACGTGATCTTGTTCGAGAACATTACGCGCCGACCTACTAGGTACTACTTGCGTTTGAGTTCCACTATTTTCCTGGAAACAAACCCTTTTGGCCTAGTAACACTACCAAAAGGCCTGGGCATATCATGAAAGCTAAAAGACCTTGTCATATTGTTCAAACTACGGCAGCGACTCAAAACTTGCACCAGGATTGATGAGAGTCGTACCATTGAGAATCCTGGGCTTACTGAACTGCTCGCACAGAGTCAGATCGGTAGGTTACGAAATGTAATAGAATCAAACAACCATCAGCAAACGTGATCTTGTTCGAGAACATTACGCGTCAACCTACTAGGTACTACTTGCGTTTGAGTTCCATTATTTTCCTGGAAACAAACCCTTTTGGCCTAGTAACACTACCAAAAGGCCTAGGCTTATCATGAAAGCTAAAAGACCTTGTCATATTGTTCAAACTATGCAGCGACTCAAAACTTACACCAGGATCGACGCGATACCATGAAGAATCCTGGGTCAGATCGGGAGGTTACGGAACGTAATAAGGCCAAAGAACCATCAGCAAACGTGATCATGTTCGAGTACATTAGGCGCCGACCGACTAGGTACTACTTGAGTCTGATTTCCACTGTTTTCCTCGAAAACAAACCCTATCGGCCTAGTAACACTGCCAGAAGGCCGAGGCACATCATTAAAACTAAAAGACCTTGCCATATCGTTCAAACTACGCAACGTTTCAAAAGTCACGCCAGGATTTACGGGAGTCGTACCATGTAGAATCCTGGGCATGCTGCACTGCTCGCACAGGTTCAAGTCGGGGTGGTTTAGGAATGTACAAACGGCGCAGTTCCATTTTGGCCCCTCCTCATCGTTGAAGTCCGACTGTGGAGGAGCGGGGGGCTGGTACTGCAGTCTTCGGCGGTTCATCGGTAGATGGAGCTGCTGTTGTTGGGCGGGATGCAACTGACGAGGCCGTGGAGGTGAAGGTTCAAAGACTACGCGAGGGCCGGTATAGATGTTATTGTAGAACGGACCATCTGGAATAAGTATAAAATCGTTAAATACCTTGGAAAGATCAATGATTTTTGGATTCGGCTTTTGTCTCATGGCCAAAGATCAGGGGGGGGGGTAAATAATTGTAATAAATCTGCTTACGTAATACTTGAACGGCCCCTATCTGACAAACTAGTAAAGGAGTACATCAGTACAGGGTGGAACTAAGAATGCGAGGTACTATATCTGGGAATCTATCCATCGCAGAGGCTTGCGGCAAAAAACAAGTTCTTACTATAACGATCGTGAGAAACACCTGGAAAATATTGTTAAATTTCTGAAATGGCCGCTAGGGGGCGTAACTGCAATCTTGATTCTAAGAAAGTGATGTTTATGTGAATTTCGTTATATGTATTAACCTTACAAAAAAATACCTCATCTTTAAAGTCGATGATAATGTGAACTTTTTTTGTTTGTCAATTTTTGCATTAAAATGAAGTGGTGGGAGGTATTTAAAGGTTTCAGTAAAAAACCCCTGTATCTTCGAAACGGCCGAGAAAAATTAATTTATAAACATAAAAATTTAAGGGATTTCCGTATAAAATTTTCTTTGGTCTAAATTTCAGGTTAGGAACAAGATGCGCTTATCACGAGCTTGTTTAGACATCAGTTAGCTACTTTTGTAGCTCTTTTTAACTAGCCCAAGTTTGTTAAAATCGGCGTAGCCGGTTCAAAGATACAGGGTTTTTTTACGGAAACCACTTTATTTTTAGAGGTACAGCAAAAATTGTCAAACAAAAAAGGTTCAGATTATCGTTGACCTTAAAGATCAGGAATTTTTTTGTTACGTTAATGTAGCGGAATTCACAGAAACATCAAGATTGTAGTTACGCCCCCTGGCGGCCATTAGAGAAACTTGAAACTATTACTATTACTATTACTATGATAATTGAGATGAGCAGAGTACACAGTACTATAAGCTCATGCAGTAAATATAGTGTACGGACACGTAACACAAATACGTCAAATAGAAAAAAAATAAAAAAAGACAGTTCGTAGCTATAAAGTTTGTACACTCCTCCAGCTATCATACTGCACTTTGAAGCTATTAACTGAAGTAGCACCGACCACACTTTCAAGTAAACTATTCCAGGTGTTGAATATGCGGTTGGGAAGAACCCGCTGTCGGACTGTTGTTTTAAATGGCTCCTTATGCAGTTTGAAGCTGTGTCCGCGTAGATTGCTGCGCGACAGACGGTATAGATGCATGAGGTTGGTGCCCATCAAACCATGAAGTATCCCGAACGTAACTATAAGATCGCCACGAAGTCTTCGCTCAGAGAATGAGGTCAGGTTGAATAATTCAAGGCGATCTTCATAGCTTGGTCTTCGTGCTCCAAAAGGGATACGAGTAGCCCGACGCTGTACTGATTCGACGAGATTTCTATCGCGCAGAGGCACAGTGTCCCATACCGGGCCAGCGAATTCGAGAATTGGCCTCACGAATGCCTTGTAAATGTAGGCGCAAGTGTTGACATCGGATCCTTTGAAAGACCTCTCCAGCATGTAAAGAAGTTTCTTGGCTTTTGATGTAACGTGGTGAATATGCTCTGACCAGGAAAGACGATCGTTGACTACAACGCCCAGATCAGTGTGGCTGGAAACTGCTTCGATGTTGTGGTCAGAGATCTTGTATGTAAATCGCGGATTTGTCTTCCCGAGGTGAAGGTCACAACACTTAGTTAGATCTAAGGGTAAAAGCCAACTGACTGAACATTGATAAACAATATCAAGATCTCGTTGAAGCATAGCAGAATTTACGACAGTATTGTAAATCTTGGTGTCGTCGGCATAAGCTGAACATGTGGAGGAAATCAATGCGGGCAGGTCACTTGTATACAGAAGGAACAGCACTGGCCCCAAGACAGAGCCTTGAGGAACTCCACTTGCTACATGATGAAGGTGAGACTGGCTATCACTGACGCGCACAGAGAAAGTCCTACCGGTGAGAAAAGCCTTGATCCACAGTAACAACTCGCCTCTTATTCCCATACATTCCAACTTAAACAGAAGCCTTCTATATGGTACGCGATCGAAAGCCCTAGAAAAATCTAAGTAGATTATATCAACAGGAGTCTTTGTGTCCAGATACTGAGTCCAATCGTTGAGAGAGTGGAGAAGGTTGGTCATTATTGATCGACTAGGGAGAAATCCATGCTGATTCTTAGGGATAAGGTCATTTTCGAAAGCAATGATTCTTTCAGCTATTTTGGCGGCGATAGGAACGAGACTTATTGGTCGATAATTTTTAGCGGAGGATTTGTCGCGCTTTTTGAATACAGGGGTAACAGAAGCACTAAGCCAGCATGAGGGTAGGGTATGAGATCTGAAAGACGATGTGAATATCAAGCTTAATGGTAGGGCCAGTGCTGAAGCGCAGATTTCAAGTACAGCAGCCGTCATCCCATCTTTACCAGGGGAGGCAGAGGTCTTCAGATTTCGCAGGTGCATTAATACATCTTCAGGAAGGAACTCAACTTCGCAAAGGCTGTTGGGACACCTATGGCAGATAGTGGTCGGTAGAAGGTCTCACTAAAGGACTCTGCCAGTAGAGTTGGCAGATTCGGTGGCATCCATGTGGAGATGACCGTCAGCGTCGCGGATCTGAGGTGATGAAACTTTGGAATTCAGGTTTGTTCTTAGATACCGAAACAGCTTCTTCTTATTTTTGGAGGTAACGAGTTTTCGTTCATAAGCATGTTTGGCATTATGTAACGTTCTAGATAGGAGGTGAGAAAACCATCGATGAGACACGTAATCTTGTGAATGGCCACTCCTCCTAAACCGTTGCCACAAAGATCTCTTGTGACGAAGCATCCTCGATATGTTAGAGTTGATCCAGGGCTTTGAGGGGTCACAGTATACCTTCTTTTCAACAGTATTGTCAGCCGTTTCGCTTATATTTTTTCTTCTCGTTTCTTGTTTGAAAAGATTCGAGTGTATGATCACACAAGCGCAAAGAGCTGCGATATAATTGCGAAAAATGTCGCGTGCCAAGTTCAATGTCACTCTGGGCACCCTCATGCTTTCCGATTTTTCGAAAATTTTATTTTTAGTGAAGCGCACCGTACGGTTGCCAGACGTGAGAAAGCTCACCTTACTTTGAGATATTATAGAAATAAATTGGCTACATGTGTTAGCTGTTGTTCATTTATTACAATGTATACGATGATGTTATTATAACCTTTACAGGTGGTGGATATTTATACCACTGTTCGCGGATACTCCTAAAAACGTTATAAAGAACAGGACCGTACCAAGGATGGAATGCCTATACTCTAGGCGCTGAAGAAAGAAACTAAACCCAAACAAATACACGCATATTGCTCGTGAGTGAATGTTTAGGCGCAGGAGACATTACAGGACCGCATCAAGATATTATGGGTAGTCATCAAAAATTTCATACAAGATAATTATTATCTTTTACAGTAAATTTCAGTTAGAGATTCACAAATGAGTTAACTACACTTTTTAGTTATTAGTAAGTAAGCTGCGCGCACTCATTCAGAAGAGGAACTTGAATCTTCTGAATCGTTTAAATGAATTATTAGAGGTTCAATTTGGGTATCGATGACATTGTCCAAATCCCACATTTTGACCTCAACCTTCTTCCGAACGTGGCGGATACAGTTTTTCCATTCCTCTGCCGTAACTCTATTGACTGCGATGTGAAAGAGATTTTTAACATCAGAAAATTTATAAGTATTATTATTCGACGCCACGTATTGCTTTATGTTGGCCCAAATCAGCTCAATAGGGTTCAGCTCAGAATGGTAGGGTGGCAGTCTCAAGACAGTTTTATTTTGTTTTTTGGCCATTTCGTCGATCATTTTAAAATCGTATTTGTATTTATGTCTATTGACTATACTTATCAATTCACCCTTGACCATTGTTTCATCAAAATCGATCTGTTTTGAGGCCAGCCATTGTTGTATGTTTGCTTTTTTAGTTGCCATTGTGGGAATTTTTTCTATTTTTCTAGAATGGTACGGGGCATTATCCAGTACAATAACAGCGTTATTCTCCAGCTTTAGTAACATTTTGGAGAACCAATTTTCAAAGGAATTGCCGTCCATCTCCTCATGATAGTCCCCTGTCTTTTTTGATTCAAAGGCCCACAGTGCTTCGGGAACAAAGCCGTCTTCAGTACCTACGTGACAAATGATCACCCGTTTGCCTTTTCCTGGAAATAAATTATTCCTTACACTATGGATTGATTAAATTTGAAGGAATGAGGCAATTGAGTTCATTTAGCTGAATTTAAGAGTCACGGAATGCTGATCAAAAACTGACAAACGTAGAAAATTGAAGTTTGCAACTTCTCAAAACCCATTCAAAGCAAATTGACTGCACCCAAAAATGATAATAAATTTCAAAATAACGCTTAAAAGAGGGTCGAAGTTTTTTTCCTAATGACTACACTGCGAATGCACCATTTTTGGAGAATATCACACATTATCTGCTATCACAGCATATTATTTGCCCGAATTTATCAAAATTAAATTGCCGGATAGATGAAGGAGCTTACCTGCAGGATTTTTTAATCCAGCCGAAAGACCGTCTAGAAAAGCCTGCCTTGATGATGTTACTGATTTGTCGACCCAAACTTTCGCTTGAGTATGTCCAGCATTCACCCACGTTTCGTCCAAATAGTAAATTTTTCTTTTTTCATCGCGAAACTTCCGAATCTTCCTAAGGTATTCCGTTCTCCACACAACAATTTCTTCTTTTTCTATTAACATACTGTTTCTTCCCCGTTTCAAGAATCGAAAATTAAGTTCCTTCAAAAGTTTTCGGAATGTGGTTCTTTTAAATGATGGAAGATCCTCATCAGCATTAACTAATCTTAATATCTTATCTACTGTAGGTATCTCATTTCGGAAGAAAAAATTATGCACTTTCCTCCTGATGGCAGTTCTGTCAAAGTCATCTACTCCGTCCGTTATCCTTTTTCTTGCAGGATACGGTTTTGGCTCAGAAAGTGAGTGAGTGCTCCTATATTCCTTAATGATCCTATAAACACTGGACCGACATACTACAGAAATATGTGCTACCTTACATATAACTTCGTCCACGACCAAATCGGGTTTTTCTTGAATTTGGTTTTTGTATATATTTAATATTATTTGTTTTTCATTTGCACTTAAATGTAGCTTCTTAGCTTTTTTTTTTGGTGGGGTTGCGCTGATGTCAACCACTTCGTCGGCTGTATCTGTGTCAGACATCGTATCTTAGGCAATATATAAACAAAACGTTCCACTCGCGAAAAACGAGTATACGCTACTGAATGCGTAATGCGTATGCAATGCAATCCTGTGCGTGAATTAACTGTTAGATGCCTGTCGTGTCATCTACAATCACGTTCAAGTCCAAACCTATGCAGATTCGTAGAGCGCCGACGACTGCTAGTGACCTTGAATTTGTCTGTAGATCGATGTTACTCCAGTCAATTTAGGTTCAAAGTGGATGTTTTCTAAACCAATTTGTTGTTCCTACATCAAAAATATATCGATGATGTTTTGTACTGGGAGCTCATGAAAGATCAAGGTAACTTATTTTAACAGTCATCCTTTTTCTAGTCTCAAGATGACACGAAAAAGGGTCTGTGGATTCACTAGAAATACACTGCCGAGGATGTTTAGACCTAAAGTGACTGGAGTATATCCGTGGATGCTTTCGAGGGATCTGTTCACGTGCTGATCACTGTTTACGTTTAATGTCTTTCTTCAGCGCACAGAGTTTAGTAATTGTAAGAGATTTTTTAGTGCAACAAAAATGACGAATCCGTTACGTTATTTTCGACAGCGTCATCAAATAAGGATAGCTGAGAAAACATGAGTTTTTATGACCGTAGTAATTTGACAGTACTGACTACTAAGTCATGACAGGAAGCTTATTTTTTTTTATTTTGACGCAAAGTCAACGCCACAATTTCAAAACCTTTTTCATGAAATATTTTCAGTAATATTTGTGTTCAAACCAGGTAAGAAATGAACAGATTTAGAGGCACAGAACGACAAGTGATAACCCGCTATTACGCAAAACGTGTCACAAGGAGCACTAAAACTCTTTGATCACAAGCGTTTTTTTTTAAATAATTTTAGAAAAAAATCCGGTTATACGTTTGTACCTGCTAAATTATCATGGTAGTTGGCAATCCCGTATTTCGAAAACGAAACATTTTAACTTCCTTAAAGCCTTATAATTAAAGATAATATTAATCTCACCATCTGGTTGAAGAGATTTACACTGCGATCTCAGATGTCTGATCTCCATGAGCAGCTGTTTCTCGAGTTCTTTATCAGCTAGCCTTTTTCGTCTCAAATTCTCCATTTCTACCACGTCCTCTTTAAGTCGCTCCAATTTCGCCTTTTCATTGATCAGTTCGGTGTATAATCTGTTGAGCCCCGCTTGCTGTTTCAGTATCACATTAGCTAGAAAAAAAAAAGAAATAGAATTAATAATGAGACAATATACACTGAGAACCAAATTTGTCTGACGATTTGAGGTCAACGTGTACGAGAGAGAAGTGTGTGAAAGAGATAGAAGCCGGCTGATTAGCGAAGCTCATTACCGCGTCGCCTGGCAACGCTGACGCGGCAATCTGTTACACCAATTCCATGAATTAAGATGCATTTTGAAAATATGCGTTAGTTTATTCTTTACACATAAATAACACTGGACAACAAATTTTAGTTTTTTAATTGTATCTTGTGGGAAAAGTGCACTTCTTTGTTAATTTTGGGGCGCTGAATCCAAAAATGACAATGAAATAAAAAAATTAGTTGCGGTTTAGAAAAAAAACTTTTTATTTTTCAGGATATATTAAAAAAAGTAAAAAGATTCATATACTTATAAGAATCACTATATGCGCTGTCTTTTTGCTATTCTTTTATGGATCGTTTCTGGAGCATCTCTACCAAGAGTCCAACAGTAGTCTGCAAGCATGGAAGGATTCCACTTTCCCTGGTACCTTTTTTCCATTGTTGAAATATCCTGATAAAAACGTTCGCCGTGCTCATCACTTACGGCTCCGCAATTGTCAGGAAAATAGTCCAGGTGTGAGTGTAGGAAATGTATCTTAAGAGACATATTACAGCCCATCTTTTGATACGATGACAGCATATTTTTGACAAGGTTTTTATAGTTGTGAGCTTTTCTATTTCCCAAGAAATTAGTGACTACCAGACGGAAATCATTCCAAGCAGTTTTTTCAATACCTGTTAAAGTGTTTTCAAACTGTGTATCTTTCAAAATATTTCGAATCTGTGGCCCAACAAAAATACCTTCTTTAACCTTTGCCTCACTTAGTCTTGGAAATTTCTCTAGCAGGCATTGAACAGCTGACCCATCTCTATCTAATGCCTTGACAAAGTTTTTCATTAGGCCCAACTTGATATGCAGTGGTGGTAATAAAATTTTTTTCGAATCTACTAATGGCATATGCTGTACATTTTTTTGACCTGGCTCTAGGAATTGACGAACAGGCCAGTTTTGTCTGGTGTAATGAAGTGCCTTTGCCCGACTGTCCCATTCACACAAAAAACAGCAAAACTTTGTGTAGCCTAGCTGCAGCCCAAGTAAAAGTGCAACAACTTTCAAATCGCCACAAATATGCCATTGGTGCTCATCGTATTTTATGCATGTCAATAGGTACTTCATATTGTCATATGATTCTTTCATGTGAACTGCATACCCTACAGGAAGAGATGGTAAAATATTTCCAATATGCAATAACACTGCCTTTAAACTCAATGTTGAACTGTCTATAAACAATCTCCATTCTTCTGGGTTATAGTTTATATTTAAAGCCGCCAGTAAGCCGTTAATGTTACTGCAGAAAACCAAGTTATTCTCTATATTGAAAAATGGTTCTAAGTCCTTGTGGCGTTTACGAAAAGCACATACCGAAACATCGTCTTCTAACAAGTTCCACTGCTGCAGTCTTGATCCAAGTAACTCTGCCTTACATTTTGGAAGTTCTAAATCTCTTACAAGATCATTTAATTCTGACTGTGTTATTTTGTGCGGTTGGTGGCATGACGTGCTCGGTATAAGATCAGGATCTCTTGACGTTGATGGCATATCTTCTTCCTGACGAATCACTCGATCGCCATGATCTGATTCGTTTTCTGATTCGCAAGCGTAGGATTCTGGGGGTTTTGGAATAGGATTTTCGTCACTGTGAGGCACAGGTCTCATCGCAGATGGTATGTTTGGGTAGTTAATAACCGATTTTTTTTTCTTGGACATACCTGTGGCTTGTCCAACACAAGGTACCATGCAAAAGTAACAATCATTAATATGATTTGTAGGCTCTCTCCAAACCATTGGGACAGCAAAGCGCATAGACCGTTTTTGCCATTTAACCAGCTCCTCAGACTTGAAGCACATGTATTACAGCAGATGTGGGGTGCCCACTGTTTGTCTTGATCACCTAGTTTACAACCGAAATAAAGCTGATATGCCTTTGTTATTAGTGGAGTAATAGACCGTCTCTGAGACGCAAAAGTCACATCACCACACACGTAACAAAACTGATCTGGATTGTTTACACACTTTCGAGACATCTTGCATGAACGCTGTCAGCCAACTGAGGAAAAAATGGCTAATATAAAACAATATAATGTACACGTATGTATAACGTAACACAATCATGCCGATTACGTCATCTTTCCTTGCCGAATATAAAAATGTAGCACGTGCATTCTTGTGAATTACAGTATATTAACACTGTCACAGCAGGAACACATATAATTACCGTATCTCTAAAACTTGAACTAACATTGAAAAAATAAGTTTCATGCCGGTTTTAACACATTAAAAATAGTAATATTTTGTGGATTTTATTTAGGATATTTTTTGGCTGTTGATCAGTGTAATTGTCTCTGAAAGTTGTAATAAGTTATGGCGCGAAAATGTTCTCGGTTGAGTTCCATTTTTCTAATGACTTGGTGACTCTTAAAAATTCACTGTAGTGAGAAAACTGCACGTATTGTTGTGAAACTTTGAATTTAAGTTTACTAAAGAGTGAGGTTAAGATTCAAAACTTAAAAGACATCCCTCGTAGAATGTTAAGCAAATTTGAAGCTTTTCCCTCGTACACATTGAACTCAAGCCGTCAGAAAAAACTGGGTTTCCCTGTATGTTAAGTTGAACTTCATTTCGTTGGTGGGAATAAAGACATTACAAACAACTTCAGTTCACAGTTCACAAGTTTTCTGTTGTTCACACAAATCCGTATCGGTTTGTCAGTCTGCATCTGTTTCATATCTATGCGTCATAAGTACTGAGTCAATCTACTTGACGAAATATTCAGAGACAAGGTGACACAAATTACAGGTTAGGCGAAATGGGTGGTACATTTAAGGGTCATAAAATTCAGAAAAATATATGTGCAGATATAACAACATTTAAGTCATAATTTACAAAAACATCGCACAACTCTAAAGTGGTACGTACTCCTAATATCTAAATATTGCTATGATATACAGGGTGATTCACAAGTCGTGACCAAAAATGAAACATTACACACAGGACAGGCAAACAGACCCACGGAAATGGGTGATTGCTTTTACAAAAATGTGTTATATTTTTTCGATTCTGATGTCACCAAATTATTACTTACACAATTTTATAAATATACATATATATAATACATTTTTTACTTCATAGGTACTTTTATAAATAATGTATATGTTTTGATATACTATCGTGGACCCTCATATTCATTTCATGGACCCCCAAATTTTTTTTCGCTGACCTAGACCCCTTGCAGGTTGTCATAGACCCTTAGGGGTCGATATAGACCACTTTAGGAATCAATGATCTGAATAATGTGTTTCCGAATAGATAGATAGGGCGCAATGTACCCATTTCTTGGCATGTTCGCTTACTCCCCGGATTTAATGCCCTGCGATTTTTTTCTGTGGGGCTATTTGAAAGAGTTGGTGTATCATGATGGAGCAGAAAATACTCTGGAACAACTTCAACAGCGCACTGAAAATGCTTGTGATTCAATTCGTGGAAACCAGGATTTTATTTTCGAATCTTTTAAATGGGGACAATTTTGAACAGGTTTTGTAAAAAATAAATAATTTTTAATAATGTAAAGTAACTCTCTTATTATGCAGCTTTTACATAGGTGATTTTTGGTATATCGACTTCTTTTGAGTTTCACAAGCTGTTAAAATAAATGACTCAACTTTCAAAACACCCTGTATAATGAAGGCAGAATAAAGCATACAGTCAAAGTTGTGAGAAATGTTGGGAAATTGCTTGAAATATGTAAACAGTACGGTAGTTCAAAGTCGACAGAGCAGGACTGGATTGAAGGCAAAAAATATTGTTTTGTTCATTTTTACATAGTTTGTATGTATTTTTGATAAAATATCTATGTTAAATGGACTCAGTACGAGCGTGTTTAATTTCTTTCCCTCAAAGTCTTAATGATAGCTTATTTGAAATTTCTATTCTAACACAAATTTTTAGATACGGTTCTGTCTAATCAAATGCTGTCCGACGATTGGAAATCGGAAACTGTACTACTGTCAAATAGCACCTTTTTATAAATTTTCTATTCTATAAGCCATGTATTTGTTGTAGGCGAAAAGTTAACGGCATATTTCAAAAGCATTAGTAGTGTTATCGTGAACACAAAATTCGTAATTACACGTTGTATTCCACATTTTTTGTCTAAACTTCGACTAGTGATGGCATATTCACCCTATTTAATCTGTCAATTATTGACACCAAAGGATGCATTCTACATTATGATTTATAAATATCTTTGCCAGCGATTACTGTAGAGAGAATAATTATTGTTAAAGTAAACGAAATTGCCCTAGTTAATACAAACTGGTGTGGAATAATTCTCGGAACTGCGTTCGGGGCTAGCGAACTTCCTAGAAAAATGTCTGTCGTTTTTGATGCATATGCAGCGTCGCCATTCAATTGTTTTAAACGGTGGTTGCGGGCTTCTTCCACACGCTTTTCCGGAGCTTTATTTTCACTGTATTTAAACGGAAATCTCGGTCGAACCCGGAAAAGTGGTTTGCGGGCATAAAAAATAAGTGTTTGTGAGTGTTTGTAGTGATTTGCACCTTTCGGTTACGGGAAGAGTGAAGGAAAACTTCGGCCTTCTCACACGGGCTCTACACGTGCGCCATTTTCTATTTTTGCAAAGGCAAAAATAAGACCAAGTCGTGCTTGGAAAAATGTGCTGGTGGCATGTGGAATAAGTGTTTGTGAGTGTTTGTAGTGTTTTCACCCTTGGATTACGAGAAGAATGAAGCGAGGCTTCGGAGATCCGCGCCACAAAAACGGTGAGTGAAAATTTATATCGTTTTTAGTTATTTTTACAGGGTGCTCGCTGATCTCTTCTGAAAATCTTGTTATAGTGCAAAGTATGTAAATTCTAAATATGCAAACAACG